ATCCAGCCCATTAATGAAGATGTTGAACAAAACTGGCCCCAGGACCAGAGTTCCCTGTAAGCTGGGGGCTTGTGCAGCCGCTCAGAAAAAATTCAAATGCCACCCAGCTTAGTGAGTGTTCCTCTCCTCCGAGGCTACGTCTAGACTGGCATGATTTTCCAGAAATGCTTTTAATGGAAAAGTTTTCCATTAAAAGCATTTTCGGAAAAGAGCGTCTAGATTGGCATAGACGCTTTTCCCCAAAAGCACTTTGTGCGGAAAAGCATCCGTGGCCAATCTAGACGCGCTTTTCCGCAAAAAAGCCCCGATCACCATTTTCGCGATCGGGGCTTTTTTGCGGAAAAGAAATCTGAGCTGTCTACACTGGCCCTTTTGCGCAAAAGTTTTTCAGAAAAAGACTTTTGCCCGAACGGGAGCAGCGTAGTATTTCCGCAAAAGCGCTGACAATCTTACATGAGATCGTCAGTGTTCTTGTGGAAATTCAAGCGGCCAGTGTAGAGAGCTGGCAAGTTTTTCCGCAAAAGCAGATGATTTTGCAGAAAAACTGGCCAGTCTAAACACAGCCGGAGTGTTTCCAAATGGATGCCTTTTGAAACATCAGCAGCACCTTGTGGGGAGGGTAGTTCTTGCTCAGGTGCTGCCCGAGGGGATGGCCTGGCTGTCAGGCACATGGAGGATGCTTGGTGACCACTCGACTCGCAAAGCTGTGGAAAAAGCAGGTGCCTGGCCTTGAAAGGGTCACGTCGGGCTGATCCTTTGCAGAGCTTGCATCCCACCCAGGGGCCCCACCGCACCCAGGGCTCTGCCGCAGTGACTGGGGAACCTGACTTGTCCAGGCCCTACCCTGGTGCCTGCATCCCAAGAGGCCTCTCACCTGAAAGCCGACGCTGCTTCAGAACGGGGAAGGCAGCGACATAAAGGGACCGTGCCCCCGTCTCGGCCCCCTGCTCACCTAACAGGAGAGCCCAAGTCCCAGGGAGTGAGGTGTCTGCTGCCATCTAGAGGCCGAAGGCTGCACACACTAGAGAATGGGAACTAAGAGACATTATGGGGGGTGACCCCAGCGGTTTCCAATGAGCCAGCCCTTCTCCGTTCATCCGTCTTCCTCCTCCATCCTCCTCAGCTGCCTTCCCCTGCCAGGGGAGGAGCTTGTTTCCCAGGAGACCCAACTCAGAAGAAGCAGATGGTGCCGATTTCTCTCGTTTCATGGTGTGGTGCCCACCTGCTGGTCTCTGCGTGCTCGCCCGACGCGCACTGAGCGCAGAGACTAGCTCCTCACCCCCTGCGAGTAGCTTGGTAGCCAGGAGCCGGAGCCACCCAGCGTGTTGCTCCTCGACTCCAGCTCGGGGGTGACACAGGATGCAGCCACTGACGGTCAAGAAGCGTGTTGGCCCAGCATCCTGGCCAGATTTCAGTGGGGATGGGCTGGGCCAGTGCCCTCTCTCTCCCTGCACCTCTCCTTCCTGCCAGAGCACCACTGAACTCCTATGGTCTCCTTCCCTCTCATTTAGAGTAAATGAGATGTTGGAGGGACACTATTTATTGACAGCATTCCTTTGGGGGGAACAATGAATCTGTTTAGAGGACTCCAGCATTGACCAATGGCAGAGATCTTGGGGCTTTGAGGACTCCAACATGGACCAATGGCAGAGATCCTGGGGCTTTGAGGATTCCAGCATGGACCAATGGCAGAGACCCTTGGGTTTGAAAGTAGTTGGTGATTGGTCCTACAGCGAGACTTGCCCCTGTTCAGCTGGGAGCTCCACTCCTTGCTTTGACCCGTCCCCCACTCAATGCTGCCAGTGGCCCTCTGGGGACCATTCAGTACACCAGAGTCCAGGTGAGGGGGTTGTATACAAAATAAAAAGACCTTTATTGTTCTCAGGTAAAGTGCAACCGTCATTTTAGTTTTACACGCCGAAGCCAGGTCGCCAGGAGGCAGAACAGGCCCCGGCCCTGGTGAGCTGCACCAAAGAGACGGCGGGAGCAGAGTTGGCAGCCTGGAAAGGCCCTTGACGTGGATATCTGACCGAGCGACACAGAAACAGCACACACGGCGCTAACGGTCTGAATCCAACAACAGGAGGCCGAAGCTGCAGGAGTGGCTGTGCCGGGGGTGATGCTGCTGCAGTTGTGGGGGGAAGGGGGGATGTTTTATACCCTGGGACGATGCTTCAAAGCCTATAAGCGAAGGGCGGCCTTCACTAACTGCCTGGGGATGTTATTTGAAAGGAAGCTGTGCTCTGAAATCCAGCAACCAATGGCAGCAGAGGCAAGGTTCCCACCTTTGCCACCAGCTGGATCTCGGCTCTGCAGCAAGGGCCCTTCGTTCTGAATTCTGCCTCGGCTTCAGACCAATTAAAGAGTAGAGACAGCTGCACTAGACACTGTGGGATCAGCCCACTGGCAGAGAGTGTCTGCTGTAATGAGCAGGTGCTACATAGTGAAGTAACCATCATTAATCTTCAGAGTTAACATCCACTGAGGGACTGGGGCCGTTCACACCTCTCCAAATTATTGCTTCAGGCTGGTTGAACTTAGGTAGATACCTCGCTATTAGTTACACTTGGGCTTCAATTTTAAGATTTTTGTTTGCAGTCATGAGGGCTAGCAACAAGCTGGGAGTATGAAGCATAGTTCTGCAGCAAGGGATGCAGCCTATGGCTGTCACACTGGGCCCCAATCAGAGCTTTCCATGTTGTTGTCTCAGTAACTCCAGATTAAATCTGCTCAGTTTACAGTTAAAGATGAAGGTGCTGAAAAGAAAAGAAAAAAATTCCCCCTGGATCTGAGCTGAGCTGGGTTCTTCCTGCTCGATCAGCACCAGAAATAGATTCTACCACTGAAAGTTAGTTTGCAATTCTGTTGCTGATGCATGAGCCAGAAGAGAAGCCAGTCCCCTCTCCCGCTGGCTCTGAAGTGGTAAGAGAGGTGAAAAGTTGGAAATACTCATTTTCCCGCAGTAAAGTTTATAGCTGGGACTCAGATGATACAGGGGCAGATCTGTTGGCTGAGATTTTTCAGACTGGGAGCCTGATTCTAATCTAGCTCATCCCACTTTTACACTGGCAGTGTGCTGTGGAGTTACTCCTGGTTGACACCAGGCTCTCTCAGATCAGAATCAGGCCCTAGAGCAGGGGTCAGCAACGTATGGCTTGCGAGCCAAATAGATCTCTCGAGCGACCTAAATATGGCTCTTTGATTGGTTGTGTGCCTGGGGGTGGGGCACAAAGAATTGTACTTCTGTCCACTTCCTCAACAGCAGCCATCACGTTCCTTGCACCTTGAAGGTAAGCTGCTGCTGGACTTGGGGGGGGGGGAGAAAGACCAGGACCAGGCTGGCTGGGGGCCAGGATTGGGGTGCATCTGGCCCCCTGCACCACACAGTGGCTATCTTCAGCTGCCACATGGCGGGCGGATGCTGGCGTCTTTAAAAACAGCCGTTGCGGGTCCTGGCCCAAGGGGTGTGCTGCCCCAAGGAGCAGAGATGGGTGACCACCACTTCAGCCCTCAGCCCCGCGGGAAGTGAGAGGCAGCAGTGCTGGGAGCTGTGTTTGGCCTTCAGCTGGCAGCCGAGCTGCGTTTCTTTCTGCCCTAGAGGAAGCAGGGCCAGTCCTGCACTGCACCCTGGAGCCACCTCTCCATGCCCGCTGGGGCCACCCTCCTCCTGCCTTCCCTTGTCTCCCAGCCCCTGCCCATCTCTTCACCCCTCCCTGCTGCCCCGCCTTCCTTCCCATCCTCCTGGTCTCCGCCCTGCCTCCCGTCCTCCCCTTCTGGCCACTCCGCCCCATCCCCTCGCTAGAGTTGTCAGCTCAGTGGTAGCAGCCTCAGTCTTTCAGCCCCGACTCCAGCACCCCACACAGCTTGGTGCCCGGAGCCAGTTCCGAGGAGGGAATGGATCCCCAGGGCCCCTGAATCCATCTGCCCAGAGGGGAGCAGAGGCTGCTTTTTGGGCTTTCCAGCGCAGCCTTTTGTTGCCCTAGCCCAAAGTTTGTGCACCCGTCCACCCCCTCAGCTGCCCTGTGTGCTGGGACTGCAGCCAAGCTACAGGGCAGCTGCTCCTGGGCCAGGGCCAGGGTACTAAAAATAGCACTGCAGCCCTGGCTCCAGCCCAGGCACACAGGGCAGCCGCACACCACATGGCCTGGCCTGAGAACCAAGAAGCTAGAGAGGGTTGAGGGGTGCAGGTGTCAGGAAGGCAAAAAGTGAGCGAAGACACAAAGCAAAGGTGTCAGTGGGAGTGGGAGTGGGAGAGGAGAGGGGACAGGGTGATGCTGGGAGAGGAGAGGGGAGGGGTAATGCGGGCAAGAGGAAACGAGAGGGGAGGGGAAGAGTGGGTCCTGGGAAAAGAGGTGTTGAAAGGAGGGGTGGGCATGAGGAAGGTGGGGGGTGGAGCAAGTCATGTGTGAGGGCGCAGAGGAGCATGAGGAGAACTGGGGCAGAGGGTGGTGAGGGTGTGGGTACCAGGGAGGAAGAGAGCAAGGGGAGCAGGTCACATCAAGGGTACTTTGTGCTCAAGATTGACAGAAGACAGCCTGAATGGTGCATGAAGCTGAATGTTACCAGTTATGATGTAAACCTTCAAAGAAATGTCCAAAATGATGCAGGAGCAGAAGTCCCCTGAAATAAAGAGCTATGAGGCGAGGCTGAAGCAATTGGGTTTGTTTAGTTTGGAAAGGAGAAGACTGAGAGGGGACATGTTAGTGGTTTTCAAGTATCTAAAAGGATGTCACAAGGAGGAGGGAGAAAAATCGTTCTCCTTGACCTCTGAGGATAGGACAAGCAGCAATGGGCTTGAACTGCAGCAAGGGAGGTTTAGTTTGGATATTAGGAAAAACTTTCTAATTGTCGGGGTGGTTAAACACTGGAATGAATTGTCCAGGGGGGTTGTGGAATCTCCATCTCTGGAGATATTGAAGAGCAGGTTGGACAGACACCTGTCAGGGATGGTGTAGATGGTGGTTGATCCTGCCGTGAGGGCAGGGGACTGGACTCGATGACCTCTCGAGGGCGCTTCCAGTCCCAGTGTTCTAGGATTCTCTGAAAGTGCGAGTACAATGTTTCATGTAATGCTATTATCAGTCATGTCAACTATCAATAATAGTACATTGTATTTTTTAATCATGCAAATGGGCCCTTTGCTGACCACTTGCTCTGAATTTGCATGTCGTTTGGCTCTCTGGTTTGAAAAAGTGCCGAGGCCTGCCCTGGAGGCGCCCTTTCAGCACTGACAGTGGGCAGAGGGACAGCCTGGCGCAGTCCCATCATCTATGGGGACGTCTTGGCCGGGGTTTGGATTTTCCAAAGAAAGCCTCCCAGGCCCAAGAGGTGCCTGCAATAGGATGGGCTGGCTCCCATTGTTTCCCTCTCTCCTCTTCTCCCTGGCTTTTGAAAAGCGGCTGATGCCAGGGAGGAGCATTGGTCCCACAGCACCGAGCTGTGGCAGGTGTCAGTCAGTTCAGAGTCACTGACAACCACCCCACTCACCCAACCTGGGCCATGCACAGGGCCGCACTGCGGACAGATAATGGGGAACTGTGCTGGCACACCGATGCAGGGCCTCTCACTTCCTGGGCCTCTCCTTTGCCTCCTGCCCTGGCTTTGCTGCCAGCAGCTTTAAGGGAATTGTTCCCCCACTGCACTTTCAGCTAGGAACGGGCCCAGGCCACAAGGCTTAGATCCAGATCCAGACGGCCTGGGCGCGTGGGCAACATGGATCGGGATTTCAGGCCAGGCCCACTTCTCTTTCCAGCCTAGTTCCATTCTGCCTCCACGTCCACAAAAGGAACCAGCTCAGCAGGATTGGCATCATCCAAGATCCCCACGCACAGGGGGCCCAGGAGCTGCTCCTCCACGCTGCTTGGCTCGTTGGCCAGGTGCCCCAGTGCCAAAGAGTCCCTGGGGTAGGGGAGAGACGGCCATGTCCTGGGATTCAGGGAGCAGGCATTCGAGAGCACTCAATGCACTGGCCCAGGGATCAGGGAGAGGAGTGGCTACTGTCTCTCTAGCTTGACATGGTCCCCAATCATCCATCTGCGGTAGGTGGCCAGGAAGACGTCGTTGTCTCTGGGGCAGTCCCGGTGGCAGGAGCACGTCTTGATGAACATTATCTTATGCTGGAAGACGTCTCCCTCTGGGCACTTGAACTCCACCTCCACGGTGCTGGTGCTGTGCGGCGTGCAGCAGCGTCCGTCTGTGCAGCTGCCGCAGAACTTGGGCCGGTAAAAGCGGCTGCTGGTGCAGCCTGAGAACTCCAAGCGGATTCCCTGGCGAGGCTTTGGGGTCCGCACACACTTCTTTCCTTTCTGGGGAGACAGCAGCAGGGAGGGAAGGGTTAACCCAGCAATATGGGATAACGGAATGGGAAAAGGTACCTGTGTGGGGTAGAAAAACTGCCAAAGGAAACACAAGTGGGTTTGTGTGGGTTGCAATGCATTGGTTTTCTAGGGAAAAAATTCAAAATGAGTGTTTTTTATTCCAGTTTTTGGAAACATTTTTTTTTTCAGTGTCACGGTCTCTGTCGAGGCAAAGTAGCGAAATAAAGCTGTCGGGAAACAGATTAAAAAGCAAGAAGCAGGAATTCCCCCACCAAAATGAAACAGCCTTTTGTTAACATTTTTACAATGTTTTAAAAGATTGGAGGAAAACCAGGGATTTCCAAAGAACTCTGGGTGACTCTTCGACTGAGCCCAAACACCATTTTTCACTCTCTCTATAAAGACATAACGTTTTTGACCAGCCCTGGCTATGGGACCTGATCCTGCCAGGAGCCAGTGGCTCATTTCTCACTGATGTCAATAGGAGTGGAAGGGGCTCAGCACCTCTCAGGATTGGACCCAATAGGTACAATGTATGGCTGCATCTACACTGGTAAGATTTTGCACAAAAGTGGCCGCTTTTGTGCAAAATCTTGCCATCTGTCTACACTGGCCGCGAGTATTTGCGCAAAAACACTGACATTGTAATGTACAAAATCAGTGCTTCTTGTGCAAATAGTCCGACGCGCCCGCTCAGGGATAAGCCCTCTTGCGCAAGTATTCTTGCACAAGAGGCCAGTGTAGACAGCAACGTTAATTTCTTGCACAAGAAAGCCCGATGGCTAAAATAGCCATCGGAGCTTTCTTGCGCAAGAGAGCGTCTACACTGGCACGGATGCTCTTGCACAAAAGCACATCTCTTGCGCAAAGGCACATGCCAGTGTAGATGCTCTCTTGCGCAAATACTTTTAATGGAAAAACTCTTTGGTTAAAAGTATTTGTGCAAAATCATGCCAGTGTGGACACAGCCTATATGTATAGCTGGGCTGCTCAATTTTGTGGCCCCGGGGCTTCTAATGATACTCACAGCACATGCCAAGGAGCGCAACTTAAGTGTGGCTGCATAGGGCAGGTGGCCCGTGGGTCCATGTGGCCCGCAGTCCATTTGTTTGTGGCCCGTGGTGAAGTTTGGGTTTACACAGGGCTCACCACGTGTCCGTGGGCAAGATCCTTTGAACGTGGCCTCCACTGGGAACACGCCCCACAACAGCGAGGCGTCTCCCAGGTGGGGTGAGCATGGAGAGACGCAAGTGGACGGGCAGGCTGGAACAGGCGGGTGCAGGGTGTCGGCATCTCTGGCCCCCAGGGAGGAGGTGCCGGGACCACGGGGGCATTGTGGGACGTGCTGGCTGCTTAGGCTTGTGGGCAGAGCCTGAGAGATGCTGACTGGCTCCCACGGGCCACGTTTGGGTCCAGCGCTGCTGCTTAGGGCTTAATCTTTGTATTCACGCCCATCAGTGTGACAGAAGCTATTTGCATATATTTGCATGTGTCTGCACCCACACTTAAGTGGTGGCCCTCGGCATGTGCTGAGAGTATCACTGTGGCCCCCGGGGCTTCCAAAGTTGAGTAGCCCTGCTGCATGTGATGCACGATTAGGGAGAACTCATGTTCCAAACACCCCCTTGTCTTCGAGGCCTGGAGGGATGAGGCTACGTCTGGTAGTGTCCTTGATGGACCTGCAGAGCACGCTCAGTTCAGGCTCTGGGTCACTAGGAGAAGCTGGCCCCTGCCTATGCCAGGGCTGAAGGGGGCTTTGAATGTGAGCCGGGAGGGGTGTGCAATGACCGGTGTCTTGAGGAGCGAGCGGGTGGCCTCCTGAGCACACACTTACAGACTGAAAGGCCACAAGGGACCGTCTAGTCTGACCTCCTGGACTGTGTCCCGGGCACAGCACTGCGGGGTCACCCATGCCCAAGGCCTCCGCAATGGTAGGGAATTGGTTGGGTGAGACATGGCCGGATGACTGAGGGACTGAGCCGTGCCCCACACCGCAGAAAAGGTGAAGCTCCCCTCTCCTCCCGACTTGGGAAAAACTCCTTAAACCTGGAGACCAGTTCAACTCTGGGCATGGGAACAAGACCCACCAGCTGGCACCTAAGGGAAAGGATTGGCTGCACCAACTCGGAGCACTGGCTCACCCATCTCATGTCCTGTTTGATGCCTTGAAGCGCTCCCGAGTATGATCCCTGAGCTGTGTCAAACAGACGACACCGGCATTGCAGCTGGGCAGGCAGGCTCCTCATGCCTTTGCCAGCCAGCGAGCTAGTGGCAGCTTGTGCTCAGAGTCCAAGGGAAAGGCCATCAGCTACCAACCACCGGGTATTCAGCCCCATCCTCCCTTGTCTGACCCACCCCAGCCCTGCCCCCCCCCCCCCCGCCCCCCCCCCCCCAGTCTGGTCTCACAGACACTGGGGGCCCCGTACCTTGATGATCTGCTCCAGGAGGAAGTCACAGGGCCGGACCAGGCAGAGCCGGCTCTCCTTCTCCGGGCGGCACTGGGGGTTGTCGTTAGTGACGCGGGTAGAGATGCCCATCCCGCAGCTCTTGGAGCAGGCACTCCACGCCGTGGTCTGGACGAGGCAGTTCTGGAGGCCATTCAGCTCAGGCCTCGGCGCTGGGTTCTGCCTGTGAACTGCCCCAGGTCAAGGGAGACACAAGAGAGCCTTCAGGGACCTGGCACAAGGTTCATGGCCAGGGAGTGGCTAACTCACTGCAAAAAGGAATTCCCCCTTTTGGTATCCTCGCCTTCTCATCAGCTGTTGGGAGCAGGCCTCATCTACCCTGACTGAACTGGCCCGGTGCATAGCAATGTAACACTCCAACCGATGTAGGGATGCCAGGTGGAAAATGTCCGGTGTTTTCTGGTTTTCTTGGCTGGAAGGCAGGTGGGGACTTTTTTTTTTTGCTCAACAACTTCCGTCTCCGGGTTTGTTTTTTGCTTAACAAGAAGTTTGGTCTCCCGTTTTTTTCCTGCCATGTTTGGGATTTTTGGTGAAAGCATCTGGCAAGCCTACCTCTATGCATTTGTATCCCTGCCAGACTGAAGTTTCCGATTCATGCAGCTGAGGAAGTGGGCTCCAGCCTACGAAAGCTTGTGCCCAAAGACTTGTGTTAGTCTTTACAGTGCCACAGGACTTACGGGTTTTGATAACACGGCAGAGATTAGCGATCATGGACTGAGCAGCGCTGCATTTAGAGTTTATTTTACAAACTGTAACCCACTAGCCCTCCTTTCTACCTCTGACAGGGGCTGTGTCTAGACTGGCAAGTTTTTCCGCAAAAGCAATCGTTTTTGCAGAAAAACTTGCCAGCTGTCTACACTGGCCGCTTGAATTTGCACAAGAGCACTGATGATCTCATGCAAGATTGTCAGTGTTCTTGCGCAAATACTATGCTGCTCCCGTTCGGGAAAAAAACCTCTTGCGCAGATGTATTTGCACAAGAGGGCCAGTGTAGACAGCTAAAAACTGTTTTGCGCAAAAAAGCCCCAATGGCGAAAATGGCAATTGGGACTTTCTTGCGCAAAACCGTGTCTAGATTGGCTACGGACTCTTTTCCGCAAAAAGTGCTTTTGCGCAAAAGCGTCTGTGCCAATCTAGACGCTCTGTTCCGCAAATGCTTTTAACGGAAAAGTTTTTCCGTTAAAAGCATTTGTGGAAAATCAGACCAGTCTAGATGCAGCCAGGGGCTGTGTCTACAATGGCAAGTTTTTCCTGGAAAATCATCTGATTTTCCAGGAAAAGCTTGCCAGCTGTCTACACTGGCCGCTTGAATTTCCGGAAAAGCACTGACGATCTCATGTAAAATCATCAGTGCTTTTCCGGAAATACTATGCTGCTCCCATTCGGGCAAAAGTCTTTTTCCGAAAGACTTTTGCCCGAAAGGGCCAGTGTAGACAGCATAGTTCTGTTTTCCGCAAAAAAGCCCCGATCGCGAAAATGGCGATCGGGGCTTTTTTGCGGAAAAGCGCGTCTAGGTTGGCCACGGACACTTTTCCACAAAAAGTGCTTTTCCGTAAAAGCGTCCTGCCAATCTAGACACGCATTTCCGGAAAATCATGCCAGTGTAGACGTAGCCAGGGTGTCTGCCCTGCACTGGCCCTTAAAGGGTAAAACCCAGCCCTGAGTGAGGGCTGACAGCGAAGCCCCAGCTGAGGCAGTTATTGATGATTAGGGCCCAGCTGGGGGCTATATAAAGAAGGGCTCCTGGCGGGGGACTCACTCTGGCTCTAGGTGAGGAGTAGGATGGGCCTGGCTGCCAGGGAATCCAGAGGCTCCCTGAGACAGGGCAGGGCTGGGGAAAGGCAGGCAGAGCTGGGAAGCTCTGGCCTGCCCTCATCCCAGGCTGCAGGGTCTGAGGCAAGGCCTGAGAGTACCAGGGCTGCCGGGAGATAGCTGAGCTAGAAAAAGGCAGAGGTCCACCCCACGTCCCCCTTGCCAATGCTGAGTGGCCATTCCAGAGTGCAGTGGGCCCCGAGGCAGGGGCTAGATGAAGCCTGGCAGTGGGTCACTGAGACAAGGAGGGTCAGAACTGGCTGTTCCCTGGGAGGGGAGGATCCTGATAAACACCCCCCGGAACGGGGCCGAGACACTGCAGTGGGCACTGCTGGAGGACACCGCGGTCCAGAGTGACGCAGGTCTGGACTGGAGAGTGAAGTGAGGACAGGGGGAGGCACCGGCCAGAGGGAGGCGTCCAGCAAGCAGCTGACAAGCACTAATTCCCAGGGCTACCAGCAGGAGGTGCCCCATTACTAACCGGGGTGTTAACAGGCCGCTGTACCTTGAATAGTAGGAAAATTGAGCTAACCCCGGACACGAAACAATCGGTCCCACCCTGCATAGGGCTGGGACACTTTCCCAGACCCCAGGAAAGCTGGTCTCACCACCAGAAGCTGGCCCAATAAAAGACATTCCCTCCCCCACCAGCCTGCTCACCAGCCCTGGTTGTTTCAAAGCGATTTTCCTGGCTGCCCCCTTGGCAAATCCACTCCTCGCAGCACTGGGCCTGGGGTGTCCCCCTGTATCGGTCCCACCCTGCATAGGGCTGGGACACTTTCCCAGACCCCAGGAAAGCTGGTCTCACCACCAGAAGCTGGCCCAATAAAAGACATTCCCTCCCCCACCAGCCTGCTCACCAGCCCTGGTTGTTTCAAAGCGATTTTCCTGGCTGCCCCCTTGGCAAATCCACTCCTCGCAGCACTGGGCCTGGGGTGTCCCCCTGTGGGGGCTCGGGCAGTCCGGGGAGGGGGGCCCCGATGGCACCGTCCATGCAGATGCACTGCAGCTGGCAGGTGGGCTGGAAGCTCTCGCCGTTGTGATAGATCTTCCCCAGCAGGTCGCAGGTCGCCCCCTCGTGGGCTGTGGGGAGAGATGGGGGAGGGGGAGATTCAGTAGAAAAAGGCCAGGCCTCGTGCTCTCGGGATTACGCGCAAACCCGGAATCAAAGCGTGTGAGCGTCAGCCAGCGAGCTGGACAGAAAACTCCCCCCGCTTGACGCCTACGACTTCTGGGGGGTGAGCCTGCATCTGGGGCCCCAAGCAGCCAGTTTCACGTGCCCATCTGAGGGAGCCTGAGCCGCCCTGACTCCACCGAGGACCCGGCTGCACCCCTCCCCCCAGGGAAGCAAGCCCTTTTGGCTCAATTTGCATGGCTGGACAAGGGCAGTTTCACCAGCAGCAAACTGAGCCCCCATCCAACATGAGGGGGCCGGCTGTGACCACCCTGTTCACAAGCCCATCGACCAAGCCAGTAACGCGCCAGGGTCATGTCCGGGACAGCTCTGCTCAAAGCTGCATGGCCGAGCCCCGTGCCCGAAAGGAGCTGGTAAAACCCTGTCTCCGTGCCGGGGAGGGACTAGGTGACCAGGAGGTCTGGTCCAAGCCTTGGTTGCTACAACTCCAGCTAAGTGCTTTGGCTGGACACAGCAGCAGAGGCATGAGATGCCGGCGTTGGCCTGTTACGTTACAGCAGAGGGCACTAGCACCCTGCAGGACTGACCCTGGCACAGAGACCTACGCGACCGCATGAGCGCCCGGGCAGGAAGCTGGAGGCTGCCGGAATCACGAGGAGCAGGCACGATGGAGAAGCTGGCCGACCGTTCAGCAACACCCCCGTGTGCGGATCTAGCCTGGGCCTGACACATCCCTGGAGGAAGAGCGACTGCTGGGAGCTCTCTGTGGGTCCCCTCGTATCTAGAGCTGTTTTTGAGTAGGGACAGGCTTAAGGCAGGACCCCAAGCCCCCCATAGTTCTGGACAGCCTGGGCCCAGGGCAATGGTTCTTCACCACCACTTAGGGCCATGTTGTGAGTCCCATTGATAAGACTGAGCACAATTAGAGTTAGGCACAAATGGGACTTAGGGCCCTTGCAAATCTCCCCCATTAACATGAAGTAGTGAAATCAGTCTCTCATCTCGGGAAGGCTGGTACCACAGTGCACCAGGACTACAGGCCAGGGAGCCTTGGGTTTGGGGTCTGACCCAGAAATCCCTATTGGGAGAGGCCAGAGGACAGTCTGCCATCAGCAGACAATGCATTGTGTTTAAACCCAGCACTGCACGACGCTAATGCCGATTGGATCCATTCATTCTGCAGAGAGGAATCTAGGGGTCACAGTGGACCACAAGCTAAATATGAGTCAGCAGTGTGATGCTGTTGCAAAAATACCCAACACAATTCTGGGTTGCATTAACAGGAGTGTTGTGAGCAAGACACGAGAAGTCATTCTTCCGCTCTGCTCTGCATTGATGAGGCCTCAAATGGAGCATTGTGTCCAGTTCTCAGCACCACTTTTCAAGAAATTGGAGAGGGTCCGGAGAAGAGCAACAAGAATGATGAAAGATCTAGAGAACATGAGCTATGAAGGAAGACTGAAAGAATTGGGCTTGACTGAGAGGGGACATGTTAGCGGTTTTTAGGTATCTAAAAGGGTGTCATGAGGAGGAGGGAGAAAAATTATCCTCCTTGGTCTCTGAGGATAGAACAAGAAGCAATGGGCTTAAACTGCAGCAAGGGAGGTTTAGGTTGGACATTAGGAAAAACTTCCTACCTGTCAGGGTGGTTAAATACTGGAATAAATTATGTAGGGGAGTTGTGGAATCTCCATCTCTGGGGATATTGAGGAGCATGTTAGACAGAAACCTGTCAGGGCTGGGCTAAATGGTGCTGGGTCCTGCTGTGAGGGCAGGGGACTGGACTTGATGACCTCTCGAGGTCCCTTCCAGTTCTAGTGTTCTATGATTTTATGATTTAATCCAAACCCTCTGCCCTCTGCACTGAGGTGAGGAGGTTGTATCTGAGTTATGACTTGTGCCCTCTAGCCAGTTCCATGCTTTCTGCTCCACCACACAGCTGCATAAGGAGACCCATTTACACCCTTGTCTGGTCTGCTGCAGTGTGTTCCCAAAGGGAAGCTCGGAGGTGCCCCCAGCTCTGCCATGGGAGGTGGGACTGGGAGCAGGGCAGCTCCGCCGGGGGGAGAGACGCAGCTGCTCACCTAAGCAGATCCCGCTGGCTCGGTGGATTTTGGAGAAGTCACAGTAGAGTCCCTTGTGGTGATCGCAGGGTTTCTGAAGGGAGCACAGCTCACCCAGCTGCCGGGCACACACCTTACAGCATCCACAGGCATCCCACACGTGGCTGGTGCCAACAGGGCACTGCAGCGGCTGGGAGGGGCACTGGCACGGGTATGAACACGCCGGTGACTCGGCCTGCAGGACAAGCCGGGAAAATAAGACTCTTCCTCTCACAACCAGTCGGGTAGAGATCAAAGCACATGAATCTGCTGCCCCACCCCCAGCCCAGCAGGATAAACCCACCTCCCCAGCTGCTCCCATGCAGCTCCCAACGCGCAAACCCCTTCATACTCTAAGATCAAGTGGCATTCAAGAAAGAGGAATCCCCTTGCGGGCAGAGTCAACTCTGAACGCTAAGGGCACGTCTAGACTGCAGCGCTATTTCAGGATACCGGAAGTATCCTGAAATAGCAACGCTGTATCTTTAAATGTGCCTGCTATTTCCCAAAATCGCGGGCGTGCTAGTCCAGTGTCCCTGTAACTCTCATTCCACGAGAGTTAAGGGATTTGTTAGAATAGTGCCTTGATTTGAAATTGGGCATTGTCTACACAGCGCCAAATTTCAAAATAAGCTCTTTCAACCTAGACTCAGAATAAGCTACGCAATTTGCGAAGTACAAATTATGTAGCTTATTCCGGGTGCTGTTTAGACGCACCCAAACAGAGCCAGTGAATGCTTGGAGTTAGCCACTCTGTGGGATCAGACTCCTTCCATCTGGCAGCAACAACAACCACCTGACTGGCTCATTCATCAGTAGAGCAAAAAGCACTTTGCAAAAAAGGGCACCATCATTATTCCCATTTTACAGATGGAGAAACTGAGGCACGGAGTGGTGAATGGGTTGGCCCAAAGTCACCCAGCAGCAGAGCCAATGCATTCACCACTCTGTGCCTCAGTTTCTCCACCTCAGTTTTCTAAGTCCCAGCATGCTGCTAGGTTCACTAGGCCACACAACTTCAAGGGAGACTTGAGAGGTTTACCCTGCCTTTCAGGAACCTTGGGATGGTCCGCCTTCCTTGGGACCTTTTGGAAGTAATGCCCTCCTGGCTCAAAGCACTCAGAGCTGTCCTTCTCTTCTTTCAGAAAGCCACCACCAGGATTTCTGCTGAGGAAAGCAGAGCTGAGCCAGCTGGAAGGATGAGAAAGCTCTGGGGAAGATCAAATCAATATCTTAGATGCCTATATACAAATGCAAGAAGTATTGGGTGATAAGCAGGAAGAACTTGAAGTGCTAATAAACAAACACAACTATGACATCGTTGGTATCACAGAGACTTGGTGGGATAATGCACACGATGGGAATATTGGTATAGAAGGGTACAACTTACTCAGGAGGAGGTGTTGCCTTATAGATTAAAAGTGTATAGCAAGATTAGAAAGGCAAAGGTGCAAAACGAGCTCAAACTAGCTACATACAAAAAGGGAAACATAAATTACTATTTTTTTCAAAAGACCCCTTCCTCATCCAGGGCATGTGATGAACAGGGTTCACTTAATGAGCAGCTATTCAATATTTTGTTTTTCCCTCATTGTTCAGTGTGCAGCTCCAAACCATATTTACTATGCAGCCTCTGCTCTGAAGAGAGAATTATCATAATTAATTTCCTCTTGGGCTTTTCTGTGGCAGTTAGCACTAGAATGCCTGCATAACTATTGCCAAGATGCTCAGGGAGGATGGATTCTAATGCTAAAATCAAAGATGTCTCTCCTGAGTGTATTCAATCTATGATTTTTTTAAGGCTTATAACTTGGTCAAATTTGAATGGCACAAATCACACCCCTGACACAAAAGCCAACCATGTGCTAAATTTTAAGCCCCTGCTTCCAAGTATGGGGTCAAGAGCTGCTCAGGAATTAAAAAAAAAATTATCAGAATTTTATGTGGGCAAAACAATGCATTGTAATTAAGGAAGTCATCTGCAAATACCTGAATGGTGGTAAGGTGATAGGGAACAGTCAGCATGGATTTGTAAAGAACAAGTCATGTCAAACCAATCTGATAGCTTTTTTTATAGGATAACGAGTCTTGTGGAAAAGGGAGAAGCGGTGGACGTGGATGTGGTATACCTAGATTTTAGTAAGGCATTTGATACGGTCTCGCATGATATTCTTATCAATAAACTAGGCAAATACAACTTAAATGGGGCTACTATAAAGTGAGTGTATAGCTGGCTGCATAACCGTACTCATAGAGTAGTTATTAATGGTTCTCAATCCTGCTGGAAAGGTATAATAAGTGGGGTTCCACAGAGGTCTGTTTTGGGACCGGCTTTGTTCAATATCTTCATCAGCGGTTTAGATATTGGCATTGAAAGTATGCTTATTTAGTTTGCAGATGATACCAAGCTGGGAAGGGTTGCAACTGCTTGGGAGGATAGGGTCATAATTCAAAATGATTTGGACAAATTGGAGAAATGGTCTGAGGTAAACAGGATGAAGTTTCATAAAGACAAATGCAAAGTGCTCCACTTAGGAAGGAACAATCAGTTTCACACATACAGAATGCGAAGCGATTGTCTAGGAAGGAGTACAGCAGAAAGGGATCTAGGGGTTATACTGGACCACAAGCTAAGTATGAGTCAGCAGTGTGATGCTGTTGCAAAAAAAGCAAACATGATTCTGGGATGCATTAACAGGTGTGTTGTGAGCAAGACATGAGAAGCCATTCTTCTG